CTCAAAATTGCAACGCTGTTCATCCTAAGTAAAGACTGTTCTCGAATTATTCTACAAGTTAAATCATTTTTAGTTTGTTTCAAATAGAAATACAAAATTAAAACGCTTCAAATTTGAACCTTTGAAACCATTCATGTTCCTAATTAGGTTTTCAAATAACTGGGTAGGCGTAGAGAGTTTTTTTTTTATGAAAAAAAGTTTATGTACGCCTATATTATTACACTAACGAACTTGTTGTGATTGAAAATAAATCTTACAGAAATATAATAAAACAATTCAGGTTAAAGTGAGTATCATATTATGATAATTGAATAGGATCGATTACATACGCATGCAGCTTTTTAGATTCCAAGTGTTTAAAGGTTAAAACCTCAAAGCAATAAATGCGTAAAGGTATTATATATATTACGAATACTCAATACGTGTGTTTTGAAATGACAGTGAACTTGCCCCCATCAATGCTTTTTTAAGTGTTAAAAAAAAAATAGGATGTTAAAACATGATGACGCCTTTATGCAGATAATCAAAACTGGACGTAGATACCTTATACCTACCTATAAGTTGCAGGTAATTGAGAGAGAATATTGCGGCATCATTTTTAGATTAAACCGGCACAATTATATTAATTATAACATATCAATAAGTATACTAATTTAATTAATTAGTAAAATGTTAGAACAATGTATTAAAATCAATCTTTCAAAGGTAGGTACCTATACTATACTTACAATCAAATTATATTTCCTCCTAGTTCCGAACATGTATCTATAATATAAACAGGACCTACCTACCTATACAGTATAATATTATGTTGTCTACGGACTTAATATCATACTGTTTTACATTTTATACTCAGGACAGTACAAAATAATAATTATAATAATAATACGTAGCCTACATTGTTAATGTCAAAAGTGTGATACAAAATAGCCAGTGTGTTTTCAAATAGTTGTACATGCATGATTGATTATCTAGTTGAAAATATATATTGTGATACATTTTGATTAAATTTCAATTTATAATTTGTTTTCAAGGACTGTACATAAATGATTGCACGTTGACTACAAAACAAACAGGTAGCTCGTAAGTGTTGATAAGTATAAACGTTGTTTAGTTTTACTACGAATAAGTCGTAGACATGTATAAGTTTTCCTATTAATGATTTTTGTTTACAGCTTTTGTGTTAAACGCAATCATATAAACATATTATACATGTGCACCTGATTGTCCATGATTTATTGGTACTGAACATGTATTTATTTTGTAATGTTGTTCGTGAGTTGTAACAAAAAGTTTTTGCGATCAACATTTTTACGAAATCTTAAAATCTGAAAACTTGGGTAATATCAAGCTGCTGGTATAAGACATAAAAAATAGAAGGGGAATAAAAAAGCCATTTATGGAACTTAAAGCTATACATGCTTTAAATAAAATTACTATATTCTATTACATTATTTTGACGTTACCATTATCGGAGCGATCACTACGCTATATTCGACCGCATAACAGCTATATTAATATACCTATATAGTATCTTTAATGTTCATAATATTATGTTACAATTTGTAGTCCTGTTTGAGGGGGTCACGTCGTATTTAATAAATAATAAAAATCGTCTTAACCTTTGTTTTTTGTAAAGGTATATGTATTTTTTTAAAACTTTTTAATTTAATAATATAAGATTACAAATAAAACTTAGACCTAGACGCGTGCTGTTAGATACTTTGATAGCTTATTTTTAAGACTTACAATTCCCATTCTCTTGGGATATGTGGTAGGTACTACAAACGCTTTTAAAGTCCAATTAAATGTTGGTACCTAATTCATTAATTTCTTTGAAACGAAATCAACGAACACAGTACGACCATACATTATTGTTGTTATAATACCCGAATAGTTGATAATTAATTACACCAAAATGTTTTTAATTATTTTAATTATTTTACTGATAAATATTTTAGCATATAAAAATTTAAATACATAATATATTATAGTATATTATCCACAGTAAGATAAACTGTAAAATAATATTTTAGCAGGCGCTGTACTACATCATAGTATGTGTACGTAGGTGTGTCATTTTAAATACAGAAGTTTGTATCGCCATAGAACACTCCTTAAGTAAATAGTAGCACAATAAATCTCAATAATTTGAAAATATGGTCCTTAGGTATACTTAAATTTCCAAAATCATAATTATTCAATTGAAGATGGAGATGAGCATACTTGCAGTGAATCGCCCTGTTTATAATTTTTGTATCCAGCTGTAGCTCAAAAACATATTTGTACTAAAATATATACTATTGATATAGTTTATAATTTCAGGGAATTAGAAAGGTTTCAAATTATATCTTACTCGTGATAGTCCAAACTTTTTCAGTTATGACTCATAATGTTAACATTAACTTTGTCATGATTGACCTTCCCATTATAATGTAATACCAAAAACAAATTCAATTTTTAATTAAAATACTCTTTCGAATAAATTAGATATTTTTATATTACTATATTATGGTATATTACACAATACAAATGATCCAATATTAAAATTGTTAGTGTAATTCAAATCTCAATACATTAGTGTCCAATGACATGCTACGTTGAACCCCCCTCCCACCACCAAAAAAAAAGTACTCATTAGAATTGATATTAAAATGTATAATTACGTATTTTATATTTGGAACAAAAATAATAAAAACTAAAAGAGGCGGTTTGAAACAAATTTAAAAATTGATTTCGTTATTAATAAAAATAATATTGTATCAGAAGGATGAAGGTAATAACTAGTAAATAAAAACATAACTGTGCTTTTAAATTAATTACCTACTTTGTTTTATGACTTTATACAGCAAGCCAATGTAAAATAGAATAAGGAATAAGATTATGAAACAAGAATAATTCTTGAAGACCGTGGGGTTTGTTTTCCAGTGGTTGCTTTTTATAATTTAATAGCCATTACGGAAGAAATTAAAACAATCCGTTGTCTGAAAAATGTATAAGACAAAACCGTTTTCGTCGCTTCCAATAATTATAATGCTTAATGTTCCAACAGATAACCATTGAACATTATGTAATTAAAATATTGTTCTGCACAAAAACAAATTAAATCCCACAAGTACTTAAATTTTAGAGTATACAAAATAATAATGTACACTATCACTAGCCGAAATGTCTTCAATTGTTTTTTTTTATGATTATTTAGCATTTATAAAATCTAATACTATTCAACATTAAAAACCTTTTGTTTCTACAAATACCAAAAATAATACATTTCTCCCATAGTATAGGTCATTTAATTACCATAAATTATTTAGCTAGGTGGATCGCAGAAGTAGCAAAATTGAATGATGTGATAAATCTAAGTTATCGCGGGGGTTGTCACTTACGGTGTTGAATTCTAAAGACTTTACTATCGGAAAATGGGAATATAATATAATTTTTGATGTTTTTTTTATTTTACTGATTGTTTTTAGTTGGAGTCGGTAGTTAAAATTCATAATAGTGCAATTTTATGAAGATGTAGGTACCGTTTAAATTGTTAGATAAATTACAATTTGATTGTTTTATCAAAAGTTATTTTTGCGAATAGTATCAAACAAATAATTTATACCTATAGCCATCTTATTATAATGTATAATCTAGCATTCTAGCGTATTACTTTGGGTGGAAGATTATCAATTTATTTAAATTCAGTACATTATTAGAAAGTACAATTTTTTAAATACTCAAAAACACCTCTCGGGTAACAGCAATAATTTTTTACGGTCAATTATAGTCTTGTATTTTAACTCATCTTGGTAAATTAATATTTTTAAGCCCCAGCGAAATAATAAAAAGTAATTGAATGAGCAGGATAAATATGTAGGTTCAGCAGCACCGCCCCCTTAAATTTCACATGTAAAAACATAGACACTTATGTATAGGCAATTCAAAGTACACGCACCGCTCCAACTTGTATTAATTACTCAATATAGTCAACCCACAACACGTCATATAAACTCGTCGCACACTCGCAAATCACAAGAACTAAAATAAAAAACAATTTTTCTGATCAACGTATGTTTTCATTTCCAAAGCACATAGAAAAGATGAACAGCACCTCCAGGATTGGTATTACCTCTATGGTGTTGGGTCGTAGGTACAATGGTTGAGTTGCAAATATTTTTTAATACTCGGCAATCACGCAAATTCAAAAAAATAACTAGTTTTCTTAACTATCGTTTTGAAAAAATTTTTAATAAAATTCGTACGTCTCGCATACTAAATGATGGGACCGAAAAAAACACACTATTGCCATTGGTTCTATTTGGGGGGGTGGTGCTGGAGAAATGCCCAAATGTTAGGAACGACATTTGTACTTGGACGGGAGGTCGTACGAATTTCAAAAAGGGTCATAAAATTCGTACGTCTCGCATACTAAATGATGGGACCGAAAAAAACCTAGTGATGCCACAGGTTCTTGTGGGGGGGGTGCTGGGGAAACGTTTCTCCAACACCGCCCCAGTTTTTTGTTTGTGGGGCGAAAACTAAACTCGTACAAATTTGAAAAATGATGATACTAATTCATACTAATTGCATACTAAATATTTGGAGAAAAAAATATGAAAATCGTATGGGGGGGGGGGTGCTGGGGTAATGTACGTGATCGAGTGGTGTGCGACGAGTTTATATGTGTTGCGGGTTGCTTATATTGAGTAATTAATACAAGTTTGAGCGGTGCGTGTACTTTGAATTGCCTATACATAAGTGTCTATGTTTTTACATGTGAAAATTAAGGGGGCGGTGCTGCTGAACCTACATATTTATCCTACTTGAATAAACGCTCTAAAAGTCTTACCTGAAGTATGTAGTACTATATAGTACTATATGTATATCTGGAATAATATAGCCGCAAGGTACATAAATATAAGGTTATTGTGTTAAATTTTATTAATCATCCTAGTTTTATGCATTTGATTTTGTAAAACCAAAAAAGAACTAAAATCATACTTACATATTATTCATCTCACAATTTTCTTTTTATTCTGTTGAATACCTTTGTGGCTTTGTTTATTTAATTGTTTTGTATTCTTAGACGACTGGTAGTAATAATATTCTTTTGTGATGTTTTTCTCCGTGTTACAATGTTTTACAAGTGTGTCAGAGTAAATGTTCTCGAAAAGTCCAGTTTCTGCATTTGAATTAAGTGGGAAATCTACTGTAACTAAAAATACAATTAAAATAGAAATCTTAAAATGAACGTCATAAAAGAGTTAAATAAATAAGTGTTTTAATTTTTATAATGAACATTTAGCTTTTGAACTATTATAATTTACAAATTATATATATATATTTGCAAAGAAATATTTTATATTATGCAATTGTATTGTAAAAATTGATACCTATGGTACAATTAAATTTAAATTATTGAACCACCTATGTAAGTATGTAACGTTTGTTATAAACATCATGTGTAGTATAATACCTATATTAATAAGTAGGTAGGTAGTAATTATAAATTAATACATTTTAGGTATTCTATGAACTATGAATAATAATATGTATTACTTATTCTTTAGGTAAAATAGTTGGTTAAGATAATAATATTATTTACAATAATTAACAAACCTTTGATAATATCTTTTAACAATGTCGTGGCAATTCTAGCAATAATATTCGTAGTTGGGTTCAAGCCAGGATTACTATTAATTTCTATTAACCATGGTTCAAAATGTTCCGTTAGTACGAAATCTGCTCCAAACAATTGAAAAGCAAACGTCTTTCTGATGTCCTTCTTAAAAGATTTGATGATGATAGTCGATATTGTCTCACAGATTGTAGGATATATTGATGTCTGCCACTTGTCGCCTTTCTTAATTGATTTCAGGTATTGTTTAAACTGTGTAAAATCCCACATACATTCCTCCGGTACACCGGGTACTCTATATTTTCTATTGGTGGATTGAACTCTTACATTGCTAAGATGAACTTCTTCACCCAAGTCTTCAACAGTAAATTTCTTGGAACAAAATCGTACATATCCTTCCCTAAACAAAATTTTCAATAATGTACATACATTAATTGTAATGTTAGGCACGAACTATTTCATAGTTATAACTTATAACTACGATTGCTCTACAAATTACAACAATACAATATTACTATCCAGGTACCAAAACCAAGAATCAACTATACAACTTTACATTAATTAAAATAAGCAATTTCAATTATTTAATTAGCTACCAAACTGGTAAATCGTTTAAATTGTGTTAAATTATATAGATTCAAACGACCAACCTATATTATGTATTTTATATTAGCCAATATAACGTATATTAGTTTCTTAAAGGCACTTAGCCTACAATAAAGGCTAATAGGGTGGTACTTTGAGGATAAACCTCTCACTACACAGATGTAAATGTATACCCCAATGTTGAAAATAATATACATATAATTTACATTTTAATCAGCTAGTTTAAATTTGACAAAATTATGATAAAATTATTTATGTTGAAGCTATTATTGTTATAAAAACGGTGTTCGCATGTTTTTGTTAATTTTAGTAATTTGATATCGAAATAATGTTAGAAAAATGTGATGGAAAAAAACCTCTGGGGCTTATAAAAAAAAAAAATGTTTATTCTTTTCAGTTTTTCAGTTTTTAAATTTAATTCTCTAGTTATGCTTTATTGAAGTAATACAATATTTACCGAAAAGCATTTAAGTATTATGAAAGCTCATACATAATTCATAGATGAATATTAATCATATATTATAAATAATAGATATATTTTACTTGTACATCCATATTTGTATGGGATATGTGTTTGTTACTAAAAAGTATTGTCTCAGGTCCACTTTGACATTAAATACCTGCAAAGGTCTTTCTACAACAAATTTAATAATTTTTACTAGCAGAATAATAATTAATAATTATAAAAGCAAACTTCTGGAGAGCCATCAATGAATGGGTTTCTCCACGTGTGCCTTAAATGTTAATAAGTTAATCATATTAAATATATATTAAACTACATTTATGTGTATAGATTGTATATTTTTCCAAATAAAAAAATCCTAAGTGGTGCAATGCATTCAATTAGATTTACAATTGTGTACTTGTTTACAAATTTTAAACACATACCAATTTAAAATGGTAGTAAGAAAACATAAGCGATGAAAATTTATAATTAAGCGCCAATTGTTTTAAAATTTAAACCTATCCATTATCGAATATCCAAGTTCCTTTTGATAAATTACAGATAAATAATAATTAACTGTAAAGACATATTATTTAACACTACTTACAATTGCCCCCTTTTTTTTTTTTAGTAAACCTCTAATTTTCACACTTCCACTCAGAATATTTTTTATAATGAGTTATTAATTGGCCTATGGTTTATTTATTTCTTTCAAATGCATTACCTATATATTTTTGTATTATGTAAGTTTTATTAAATTTGTTGGGTTTTTTAATATTTTTCAAAATATTGGTGAAACGTCTTTCCAATGTTATTCCTATACCGGAACAACGATTAGACGGTTTTACGATCCACAGATTTGTATCACCATCGATGAAGAATTGTGGACAAAATGTTTTAATTTTACATTCCAAACCGTCAAATCGCTCATAAATATCCTTAAACGCAACAATAACATTTAGTTATTTACTAAAAACAAGTAGGGAAAAATTGCGAACGGGATACTTACGCTAATTTGAAACGAGTTACAAACACGAATGGTAGCGAGGTTTTCTATAATTTCATAATACCAAACCATAAATTTGTTCCAGCAATCTTCTAATATTGTTGTAAACCATAGCATATCACTTTCTTCTTTGGTTTGATAAGCGTGCACGAATTCCCAACAACGCTGTTCAATGAAGTCGATCATTTCGTATGGAACCTAGTAGAATGTTTGTTACGTTTTATAATTTACTTTATCCCCTGGCGATGAAACATAATATTATTGTTATTATTCTTTCCGATTGATACATGTATGTACATGCATGATGATTAAACGAGAATGATCATTGATCACCCCATTTTTTCTTTTAATAATGCATTTTTCGTACAATGTATTTTTTGGTTTGTTTTTCTTAGATATTTTCAGTCTGTGTGTGTGTGTGTGTGTGTGTCTGAGTTTGTTTATATAGTGTATTTTTTCTTGGATTAAATTGCCTAATTGTTGTATACATTTTAATTACTTTTAAAAGTTCTTGATTATTTTATACGATGAAGTAATTGATGAAACATGAGAGCAAACGTGTTGCAACATCAAACCGAAAAAATAGTACATATTTGTACTTAAATGTAGCTTTGTGTTATAAAATAACCGATTGTTAATGAATGGAGGGTCATTTAAAGGACTTTTGAAATAATTTTCTGAAAAATATTATAATTTAAAAATAACAAAAAAAAGATTAAAAAACCCTCGTTTAAAATAATAAAGTGCTAGAGAAATTCACGTCGTTATGGAAACATTTTTAATAAATAAATAAATAAATGGAATAAAGAATTTTTTTTATTTAAAATACTGTAAATCATTTAAATGTATTATTATAAAACTAGATAAATATACCTATATTATTTTGATTACCGATATTACGATTATTCAAGTTTAATTTATAATTATTATAATATTATAATTAAAGTTGTCCGATTAATACAATAATTATAGAGATCTAACTCTTTAACTTAACACTTATTTCCCCCTCCCAAAAAAATAATAAAAAAAATAATAATAATATTTACAATAAGCATATCATGTGCAGTTATTGTGTGATAAGACTTGATAGGTAGGTACATGATATGAAAAATCAGCCACCCAATGGTGATACTTTTCTAGATTTAAATTATTACATTAATATTGTTTAAACGTATTATGTTATTGTTATTAATATATATTATTAACAAATAACAATGTTATAAAGTCTTTGGAACTTATTGATTTGTTTCACTTTAATTTTATATTTCTGCAATTTTCTGCTGCACCGAATACTGCAGTAGTGTACTAAATTATATAGCCATCTGAATAATGTATCAATTGTGTCTGCTGTGAGAGAACTGAATATCCTCTTTAGTGTTTATCAACTATAAGTTTACATTTAGCTGATTTCCAGTTCACTACCGATTACATTAACAACTGAGTAATAAATAACTCTTTGATGAGTCACGGAGAAAAAACATTTTTAGCTATTAAGCTAGTGTTATTTACACAATTTATAATCGCTTTTTTTTCTCTTGTTATTTTTTTATTAAATCGTTTTATTATTGTTATTGTTTTTATTTGTTAATTTTTTTAGTTTTTTTCTCGTAAATTCATTGTAGTATATTATAATATAATATGTTACAAAATATAAACATAATATATTGTGGTAATGACATAAAGTATGTGGGGAATTTAATATTTTGTCTGTTCAATTTCGTATATAATATTTTATTCTAATATTTCTCAATAAAATAAAATTGTTTATTCGTCCTAACGCAAAGTGAATGCTGTTATAATGTTATTTATCAAATATGTATGAGGACACTGGACAAGTCGTCGTTGTTGGTAATCATTAAAAAACATTTTAGAGTGATGAGACACATATAAATAACATACAGGTACTCGGGATATAAATATAAGTCCGAAGTTCTTTGACATAACGTAACTAAAGGTATGTATATTAGCTTTATGAACCTTAAGTAAAATTAAAATATCGTCTTTGAAAAATGATGTTAAATTTATTCTGACTTACTGTTCCGTTTTTACTAAACATTGTTTTTTGTGAATTTTTTGAACTAAGAATGTTCTTCAAGGAACCCAACAAAGCTGTTAGTCGATAATCTTTTATAAAAAAATCCATTGTCCTCGTGTCTGAAATGTTGTAGGTCCTTGGAAATTTTATATTGACTTTTTTTGATATCGTATTAACGGTTCCGGCCAATCCAACCTAATATATTATGACTTATTAATAAATTGATTAATTACATACTGATTCTATAATGCATTAATAATTTGCAAAAGTACTTTAGTGCAAAAACTTAAATTATTCAATTGGCTCATCATTGTCGTATCGTTAAATATATTCCAATTAATATCATATCGGTTCGTGGTAAAGATGTAATTAGGGCTAACGTCTTTGATTACCGACCACAAATATGTGTTTTCTATATTTTCAATAATTAAAGATTCCACTGTTCTTGAAGTTAACGAAGGTGGTGACTTGACGTTACAAATTGAACGACTGTCTAAAGCAAATATGCATAATTATTAACTTATAATTTTTAACCTTTATAAAACAACTGCAATTTATCGACTAGACAAAAACTATTGTGGTGTTTATATATTATAATATATATTTATAATTAAAGACAACTTAAAAGTCGTGTTATTTACCAAATTGAAATATCAGGACAATGATTCCCGGTGTCGGACATTTACACTTTGTTTGGATAGTTTCATATTATGATTATATTTTAATAACTTGTTTAATGTTTATTTTGTTTTATGTAAATCCTATTAGATGCGTTAAAAGTTTGTGGTATTTTTTGATTGAAAAACTATGATATAATAATAGAATTAAAAAAAAAAAAAAATTCATGTCTAAGAACAATCTTGTACACCTTATACGTTTTCAAATTATTTTTGATTTCGTTCTAAAAACTATTTACTTCTTCTGGTTTCTTTTAGCAATACATTTACAATTTTAAAAATTGTAAAACTATATTGTATAACTTATGCATAACTCATGAACCGTAGAATTATCAGAAAAACTAATTCGAATTTGTGACTATACATATATTTTATTTAAAAATATTAAAGCTCATTAGCTAGTTAAATGAATAAATACATTATTGTTACTACACATATATTGAGGAAAAAAGCTATGTTAATGATTTATATACTGATTACTTGTTAATGTCAATGTAGTAAATAAATATTCATAATTCAGTGGTTTGGAATCTGGATTTTTTTTTTCAATCCAACCTCTTTTCTTGAGCTCCTCTGATATTATTGGATAATATCCATGTATTGAAAATATTCTTTTGGCCTATGATATTTTTAATTTATTATAAAGTTAATAACCTTAACTCTATAAATCTATTTATGTGCATATTGTTTAATACAAAATTAAATCCAAAATATAATTAATCGATATCATTAAAAAACACATCTTAAATCAATTAATAAGTTATAATACAATTTACACACCGTCATTATAAATTTAGATCATAGGATATTTTTAAATTATTAATGAATTTTATTAAAAAGTTTATAAAGTTTGTAAATTACAAGAAAACAATATTGAGTCATATTAATAGTATTTTTAAGACTCGTACAATAAAATAATTAATAGGTAGTATACAAATAAGTACAATGTAATATATACCTACTATTTAAGTTATAATAACATTAATAAAAATTATCTAAAATCAATAAAGCTCATATTTGCATAAGTAATGATTGTTATATGGTACTAGGTATGGCATGTGGCAACTAGGAAAGTTTACAATCGATTTACCATCCCTATAGTGCAAATACCTTGAAGCCAGACTGATAAGAAAACTTTGTTGGTCCACTTAGGAAATAATCTGTAACGTTTTATCGTAACAAATACCGATTAAAGTTTGTGTGTCTTTAATTTTAAACGATTTGACGAAGTTAAATAAATTAATGAAGTACGATGAAACAAGTTTGTATAAAATTGTATTAGGTACCTATGTTAAAAAAGTTAATATCCTATATCAATATGATAATGATAAGGAAAAGTACACTTTACGACTTAGTACTCTCCTCCCTCTCAGTATCACTTGATATTGAGATCACTGACTTATGAGTTATAATTAAAGATATAATGCCTATCAAATAAAAACTGTAAATACATTTAAACATACCATGGTATAATCATATGGTTTTATAATCAATAACCAATATCTGCAAAGGTATATATAGGTAATAAATTTGATTTCAATTTTTTCATATATAATATTATACACATTTTCCAATGTTCTATTTTTATGTTAATACAATTTTTTATATTTTATCCTATTTCACTTTTGTTGAAAATTGCATTTTTATTTTAACATTTGGTAGCCAGATAATTTACTGAGAAATTGTATGAATAAATATCGAATATAATAATAATAGTTATATCTCCATAAACATTTAAAGTTTTGATGACAGGAGAAGTGCTCCAAAATTATGCTGTACACCCGTATTACTCCCCTAAACATAATATATAAACTTTGAATGTTTATAAAATATTATTTAGTTCAGTGGTTCAATATTTAATATTTATATTTTATACAAAGATATTCTCAGAAAATATCTGCTCTTGAATATTAATTTATTTTTTAAAAATGAAAAATAAATGTTAACATTAAAAATAGAGAAATTAAAAAAAATTTCTAAAATAATAATAAGAAATATTTTTAATTTAAATAGAAAAATACTAAAATTGTCGAAAACCAAATAAAAAATGAAATTAAGTCAATAAATAAATTTATAGCGATTTGCCTTATTCTTTAATTTTTATACATCTAAAATTAAACTTTGAGTAGGTAATGAAAAAAATATTTTTGTTTACGTTTTTTAATATTTATCGATTATAAAAGTTTTCAATCATTATAATCCATAGTAAACTAAGTAGGTACTTATCAGAATCGTTTTCCAAATATGATCATCATATTTATCATTATATTTAAATTGTATAAAAAATTAATAATATATATTAATTATTAAATTATAGGTGTATTATAAGAAAATATATATTAGGTGAGCGAAACTGTATGAGTTTAGCCGTTTAGGTAATATTCCATTTTCAAGTTTATATATAGAGAGATATAGGTAATATAATATGTATATACAATGTACATCTACATCTTGACTAGGGATTTTATATAATTTATATTATTGTTTATAAAAAAAATTATATATTTTTTAAATTACCATCAATGGTGCCACATAAAGCGATTGTGCAACTTTTAATTTTTTAAATAATAACAATTTAAAATAATTTTGTTATAAATAAATCCCATACTATTCTTTCTTACAGAACAATGGCTGTAGTTAATGGTTCATTAAATTACAAGTAATAAAGTAAACCTAATAAATCAATGAATATTTTTATTTGTTTATTTGTATTTAAAATCATAATACCTATAGATGTACATAATGATTAAACAAAACAATCATTATTGGGGCCTGGTGTGGCTCGGTGGTTAGTTTGTCACTAACTTGCTCCAGGGGTTAAAGTAGGGGGGACACAGGAGAACTCAGTCCCCCTACCACTGACGTCGATTAAAAAGCGTCCCCTTTAACAAATTAGGATTTTATACATTTGACAATGCCTATACATAAAATTATATATGGAACGCTTTAAACTATATGGAGACATTAGTCCCCCCTGGAATTTTTTCCCACTTTAACCCCTGACTTGCTCTGAGGTCAAGCATCGACCGACATCGCTAGTTCCCGGTGGGGTTGATAAATTGGGTCCCAAATTACCTTATCTCAGTAAATTGGGTCCAGGAAAAAAGGTAATAGGTAAGTTGAGTTGTGGGAAAAATAGGTAATAGGTAAATGAAGTTCCAAAAATAAAATATTATTTTATATTATCTAAGTAGATACTATTATCTTCTAAATAAATATATGTTATAAAATATTATGTTCTCGGTATAAATTGTTAAGAGATACAAATTTAAAAAAAGGTGCTCTGCTGTACAGTAGGTTACAAGTGGGTCACTGTATAATGGATGGTATCAAATTTGAATTCAATGATATAATATCATTGTATAAGAAAAACGATTCTGAGCTGAGACGGTATGTCAGTCTAAGGTATAAGACATATTATATGCTTATCTATGATATTAAAAAAAATTGACCTATAATAGGTATCTATAATAATTTCCAAATCAATTATATCACAATATCCATTAGGTACTTATAAGGCGTTATACATCAATAACAAACCGTGATACTATCATAGATATATAGTAGTATACTTTTGAAGTTTCAAATACCCACGAATAATATTAAACAATCACAACAAAATAACTAAAAAAGTTACCCTAGGTTTTTTAAAATGTATTTTCGTCCAAATTTGAACTTAAAATGGCTATAAAAATAAAAACATGTGCATAAGTATTTTTTAGATTTTTTGGTAACAGAATGAACTACTTACTACTAACTTTTTATACATTTTCAATCCTTAGATATAAAAGTTGAACATTTTATAAATTTTTAACTACAAAATAATTATTCAATTTTAAATTTGATAAATGTTGTCAAAATTCGATTTAAATGCTTATAAAAAAAAAAAAAATGTGCCCATGTATTTTTAATATTCTTCAACTTATATTGTAACAATATATCAGGAGTCTTTTATTAAATTTTTACACTTTTTGGCCCAACAGATAAAACTTTATTGATATTTATAAAAAAAAAAACTAAAAAAATTAAAAACTTAAATTGTCTTTAAACAGCTCATAAAACGTTTAAAAATTATAACATTTTAATATTTAAAATTTTTAATATTTTAAAAATTGTATGGTACATAGGAATTGCTAATATAAACATTCAGTGAAACTTTCATGTATCTACAGTTACTCGTTTTTGAATTACAACAAAATGAGGAAATCGCTACATGAGAAATCGAGTGAATATCCAATGTTGTAAAAATTTTAACTTCAAACGCTCATAAAAATTTAATTTGAGTTTCTTATAGACATTTTTTTTTTGATTAAGGTAGATAATCTTATAAGGAATCTTGTATTACATTTTCAAATCTTAGATTTAAAAAGAAAAATTTTTACGAATTCTTAACTCAAAATAATTTGCTAATTTTCGTGATTTTTCCATATTTTGTCAATTTTTGAACTTTAAATGCTTATAAAAAAAAATTGTGGCTAAGGATTTTTAATATTTTTCATCTGCCTTCGAAACAATATACTAGGAGAATGCTATTAAATTTTCAAGCTTTCGTAACCAACAAATAAAATTTTATTGATATTTTTAGAAAAAAAACTAAAAAAAAAAAAAATGGAAAATGAAAATGTTCCTAAACAGTTCAAAACAAATCATAATATTTTGAAAATTTTATAAACAACCAGCGAAAATTTCATGTATATACGGTAATTTGTTTAAGAATTGCTCGAAAAACCAAAATAAATTTTTTCGAAAACAGATTTTATGTAAAAATTCCCGATTTCCTTAATTTTTCTTTTGTTTTCAAGGCGCTTTTACAAAAATTATACTTTTGACCCCCAAAAGTGCCAACTAGATTCACTTTCTTATCAAAAAAGATACTGTTGAAGTAAATCAAGCTCTTTTACTATCCTAAAAGGTGATGACAGACACAAAAATAAAAAAATAAAAAAAAACACATCATTGTAAAATCAATACATTCATCGTTCCTATCAGAATCTAAAACATGAATTTTTTATAATCTTATGTTCTAGGTATAAATTGTATAAATAAAAATATATGTGTTTATTATAATGTTATGTTCTTGGCAAAAACTTAAATGATAGGGATTTAACATGCTCAAATCTGGTTATCGTATCAATATTGTATTTTGTCCTTTGTTCCCTTACTTAAGTGTTATTCTTTATCGAGCATACTTTTCTTCTTTTGTTTTTTTTCTTTTGGAATTTTACATGTGTTTCGGACTGCATTTCTAATAGTTCGTCAACAAAATTAAAAATATTAGGATGAGGGCTGTAAAAGGAGAATTATATGATTCACAACCATATTTTATAAGAACGGTGGTAGCTGCAAATTCAGAACAAATATTTGGGGGAAATGTAGCATCAAGTAAGATATAATTGTCGAGTAGATAATCGAAAAATAACTTTATTTGTTTCTAATTTGGTTGTATGGTCATTAAATCTTCTACAAAACATTCACTAATTTGAAATCAGCGGTAAGAATCATGGCTACACACACACACGTCACACACCATCACCAATTAATTGGTGTCTGGATGGTGTACTGCTATTATAATAATTATGCTCTCGGCCGATTAGGTAGGTAAGTGGGTTTATAGCTGGGACCCAACTTACCTACTATTTTTTTTTACCCGGGACTCAATTTACTGCTTTCAAAATTTATCCAATTTACCTAGCCCCGTTCCCGGATGGGTGCCCACCCGGGTTTTCAGTGACGATTATTCACCCCACATATACGTGTTCCTCAATCAACCGTAACCCCACTACAAAATGCTAATGGCCATAGTTGTCGATGCTTAAGATTAATAAAAAAAAATTATATATTTATTATAATTAAAGAATAAAGCTATAGAATATAGATAATAGATAAGTATATGATATTAACTTAATGTATTTTTTTTCATATTAACTGGAAAAAATATGTTACAAGTTTCTGTAAGACTGTAACTAGTTAATTTACTTAATGAATTAAATATGGTTAATTACAATTAAAAGTGAAAAAAAAAATATTAACTTTTTAACCAGTTAATAACCCCGCCATTTCATAAGTACTTAAATTCACTCGACTTATTAAAAAAATATTTATAAAAAATGAACAATATAATGTATAATTTATGAAATGGCATTGTATTGTATACAACTCACAATATAATTAAAATGTACCTACCAGACACACGTGCTAGCTGAATGTTCATTTGGTTGTAACGGATCGTGTGTGATAAACTATAAAGTTAAAAGAATTAGATTGGAAATAGATAAATCTAAGGACCAGGATAGTGCACGAAGAACGATGAGATACCTTCGAATAACTCCTATAATAACTAACGAACCAAATCATGTGTTTTACTTTTGCAAATTGCAATTGATCACTTCTCCAACCGACTTACGTGATTCTAGTACTCATACATTTCACAATGCTTTGTCTGTTGAACGCATGTTTATAGATTCGACACACATATATGATATATAAGTATGAAAGGCAATTCAATTATAAAACATAGATAGGTATATTTGTCACCGATTTTTTTTAACACTACCATGGCGTGGAGTGGCGTTTTAAGACAAATGTTTCAATTATATTATAATAATAAATTACAAAATATATTTTAATACATATTATTTTAAAATTTTAAATACATTAACATACTTATTAGACCTGTCATAATGCATTATCTGTTGTTTTTAAAAAAAAAAATCCAATGACCTAAAAAAAATTACTTAAATTAGATATTCTATTTAATAACAATAACAATATATATAAAAAGGGGGAAAGTAGGTAACTACTAGCTGCATGTTACTTGCTTCACCAAAAAGTATATTTTTCAATTTTCAGGTAGTAAATTTGCCCGGTAACTTGCTTCTTGTTTTGGAGACACATAGAGACACATATCGGCTATATAATTATTATCGATATTATCTACTAAAACCACTAAAATCGATGGTTCATAAACTATACTGTATAATAAACCTCACTATTTGTGGGATGGGGATAGTTCGGCCCCGTGATAAGAATATCAGTATTCAGTATAATGTGAGTGTTAAATCACATGATGTAGATAAAATTTATCTATACTTATCGTGGTATATCATAATAATTAGGTTAATTATGATATATTATATTAATAACTTATGTAGGTATTATATGATGTGAAGAAGGTATAAAGAAGCATGTATCGTAATACAACTTGTTAGATTCGATAAGATACTCGTAGGTCGATCCTACCAACAATTTCAATAAATATAGAAGATGTACACTACGTATTACAAGAGCACCCTGTACCTACTTACAGCAGAAAATTAAAATGTTGTCCTTGTCAATGACAGGCAAAATAATATCATATTATTTTCTTGTGATAAAAATATAAGTTTCTTAAAAAAATTAAAACTATTTACGTCCATGGCACGTTTCAATACTGTGCAAAATATTTTTTGCAAATGTTTTCAATTCATTTACTTAATAATAATTATTATATACCATCATTAGCATTTTTTTTTTTTAATTCCCGATTAAGAAACTCAAACATATTATAATAAAGCATTTACACGCCTAAGTGAAGAGTGTTTAAAGCTAGGGTTTATATTTTCACCAAACACTGTATTTGCCGACTTTGAAGTTACAGTTGATATTACAGCTATTCGAATAGTTTGGATTAATTTAAAATTAAGGGATGTCGCTTTTACTTGGCCCAACTTGGTAAGACTTAATACTATAAACTAGTAAAAATCTCATAATAAATAAAATTCTACTTTAATAATTAATTAATACGTAGGCAATTACTATAGAGTATAGGTGTTGAAAAATGCAAGCTATTAGCTTAACAAATTATTTCAAAACAATTATAGAAATTTGGTACATTTTTTAAGGGGTATGACCCTTTTTGAATCTTTTTTTGCAGGACGTAACTCACCTACTGATAATAATTTATAAGTAGTATGCTCCCTGCAAGTAGGTAACCACTCTACTATACAGTTGGTTTCGATTGAGTACCTCGTCATTGAGCAAGTCACAGTATTGTATGTTTTAAATTTGAATTCAATTTTTGCAAACAATTTTGAAAGAATTGATCGACGTCACAAACATTTGCAAAGTAGTAAAAAAATCATTAAATGTTTAATTTAAGCAATGGTTGAAAATTTAAAACAAGGTTTCTCATATAAGTAGTTTTTGTACTGTAAGCAAAATGTTATTTAAAAAATATACAAACACGGTTTTCTATAGATATTTTAAGTTCAAATTTGGACGAAATTAAATATTTTAAACGAAGAATAACCATTTTAGTTATTTTATTGTAATTTAAAAATATTATTTGAGGGTACTTCAAACTTTTAAAGTATATAAGTATATAATTATGTCTATGTATATACACAATAACATTTTCAAATGCAATGTTTACGGCAAAAAATTAATTCAACATATTGTACTACTAATAATTAAATGAATATTACTTAAATTAATTGCAATAATAATATCACAAAACATATTTGTAGGATGCAATGTAGGTTGATAGACCTTCGCTCAGAATGGTTTTTTGTATACAATGCTATAATCTTATTGAATTCAAATTTAACTCATTCATTGGCCATTACAGTGACCCACTTGATAACTACTGTACCTAACCTATTTGCCCACCTTCCCCCCCCCCCCGATTATTTTGAAAAGTACTTGGAATTTTCAACTTCAAACTCCCAAAAGTACCAATTAGATCCAATTTTCTATCAAAAACTACCCTCAGAGTCAAAGATCAAAGCATTTTTTCTACTGTACAACTTGTACACACAAAAAAACCAAAAACAAACACATATCATTGTAAAATCAATACATTCATAGCGCTTCTCAGAATCTAAAATTGATATTGAGTAGTCGAATAGGTACGCTTTATTTAAGGATGTGTATTTAAAGGTAAATGTTTTATTTATTAGGTCCATACACCATACTAATGTCTGATAACGAGATTTCTATTTACCTAACTACCCGAAACGGCCGAAACACTATTCAATAACAAAATGGAAAATAAAAAGTTTATTTTTACTATAAATACAATAAATAATCCACGAAACGTCTTTAATCTATATTATTATAATTTTTATATTATTTCATATTCAAATGACAACATTAAAGTTATTAATGCAAATATAATTATTTATTTATTTTTCTATATATATATTATGATAAAACGCTCAAAAGTATACTGTATATACCTTTTAGAATAATATTATTGTATACAATATACATGTTAAAAATTAAAAATTAAAAACAGAACATAGTTTTGAAAAAACAATACCACCCACGACCCATATTTTGTAAAGAATTTATATGGAATATATAAAATCCTCATTGTGTTACCTACAAAATATATTATGTTGATTGTGGTTTAATTTAAGAGCACAATAAATATTTATATTTATAATATTTATATAATTAGGAGTACCTAGGTATGTTATAAATATATAATATATATAGTTACCATGTAATTTTTTACTTTCAGTATGCATTTTAATGTTGTATTTACGGCGTGATTCTTTAAAAATATTAAAAACAAAATTTTTTCAAAAATGTTATTTTATAATGAATTTTAATTATTTAAAAAAATATTTTTAACAACGTTAATACTTTCAAAAGTCAATATAATGAGTGTTTACCTTTAAAATAATCATCTTGTAGTATACTTACCTTATCTATACATTTGTATAGCCTTATTTGGCTCTATTCATTTGTATGAGTCAAATAAACAATTAATGAGATATAGGTACATAATATACATATTATATAAGATTTTAAATTATCTGAAATGAAAACCATTTAAGAATTGAAATTGATTGTAAACCTAAGTGTTAAGTATAAACTGAACATGATATTATTATGATGTTTAGGGATAGTTTTTATTAGTAAAAACTTAAATAGTTAAATATTTACTTCTAAAGTATTTAATTTCCTTAATTCGATTAATATTAAAAACTTTTGCTGTGAGATATAAAAAATGCTCTACATCTTATATTTTGTTTGTTTGGACTGTGAATATTCATATTTCATTGTTCGGCGTGGTTATAATTTACATGATATACGTTTGTAATTAAACTAAGAAATATGGCTTGAATAAATAGGGATTTTAGTAAATTCCACATAAATTGTCGATCTGGTAATCGGGTAGTATTTCTAAGGTATTTAATAATGAGCTTAAGTGAGATGCGTATATCGTTAAAACATTATAGATGAATTTTGGATCAGTGGTTCTCAAAAAATATCTATAATAATATGTTATTTTTTTTTTGTGGAAATTGGAATATTATAATATATAATATTTGGTCGAAAACGGACAGGGTGATAACAGTCGAGGGTCACTTTTGATCGGTCACTGATATAAATGGATTATAATCGTGGAAAACTAATAATAATAGGCTATAATATATTTCTGGAGGATTTAAAATTTTTTTGCTGAAATTCATGACGTTCCAGTATAAGCACCCAGCTGTAAGACATTACAGGTATAGATTAGGTACCTGTACCGCGGTTATCGCCCGTTTCACTAAGACCGCAACCTCGTCCTCTCCAATCCCGGGCGCAGCGGCGTCAAGACAACAACTGCCCTTCAAAATAATATGTGATTGACATTCATTCGTAAGACTTTTCTGCAACAACCGCACGTAGTTGTCAGCAGTCCACGTAGATTCGTAGGTTTGACGTGGTGCATTGTTGCCGTCCACCGACTCATCGTGGCCGGTCACCGATGATTTACCGACGACATTTTCGGGAGCGGCGACGGCAACTGCAACCTCCCTGGGAACATTTTCATCGGAGGTCTTTGGCGTCTTCGCGGGTCTAGAGGCCTCGTCGACTCTACTTGTCCTCTTGTCCGCCCTTTTGCCGGCGATCCCTGCAGCAGCGGACACGGTTCTTTTGGTCGTTCTCGCCGCACTCTTGGCTTTCAACCCTGCACCGCCGTGGTTGGACTGAATCATGTTATGTATTATTTTTGCGGTTTGTGATTTGAACTATGCGTTACGGATGTGTGTGCGTGTGGCTTTTGGGATTTTGGCGAGTTTATGGTCAATATTTGTTCGACAGTGTATTATAATGTTTCAGGTTAAAAAATTGTATGTAATATATTATAATATTTATTATGGTTTATGTTACCCTGGCGATACATTTCTGTTGAGCTAATAAAATATTATGACATTATACATAATATGTATATATAGGTACTATACTATACTGTGTAGATAGGTAATATCTCAAACCTTACAACGCTTGGCTGATATTATTTATATTACATAATAAAGGCAGTACCATTTAATACTAATTAGTAATTTTGATTTATAAAATAGTTTTTAAAAAGTTATTCTTATTTAGCATGTTGAACGTTGAACCAAAATTTGGTAAAAATGTTCACTCAAAAGGAAAATAATAATTTTAACTAAAATTTAAATTTTTTAGTACCACAAATAGTTAGATTTACATGTTGTTCATTAAAGCTTCCAACCATATTATAGTAAAAGAAAGTATCTTAAAGGTAAAGATACCTTACACGTCATAATATATTTTAAAAGTATTCAGGTTAATATTTATACCTTCTAAATTATCTTGAAATTAACACGTGAGGTGGGTACCTACATAAGAAAAGTGACTTGTTAAGTTTAAAGTTCCTCACAAAAATAAGTAACTCGTTATGTACTTAATTGAAATTTAATCAACGTCTTAATTTAATTTTAAACTCGTTAATGCCCTGCCTTGAATTTATTATATTATATATTTATAAGCTATATTGAGTAATTTATATTCCAGACCGATGATCTACATTGAAGCTGTTGTGTATTCAGTAGATGAAATGTTAATACTGTTGACGTATCTGTTTAATATTTCCAATATATTATAGTTAAGTTTATTATTTTAATATTTGTGCTTGGTAAATCTAAATGTCTTAATTTTTTATTTAATTTTAGGAAATTTATATTAAATTTATGAAATCGATTTTTATCGATAAAAAGTATATAGGGAAATAATTCTGAACTCTGAAAAAATAAACGAGATAGAAAAAAGTAAAAAAAAAAAGGAATAATATGAAAATTTTAATATACATAAGTCGTTTCAATCGTAAATATATTGAATACTTCTAAAAATTATGTCAGATAAAATAGTTCATGGAATTTCCATACTTAACTCTTACGAAAAATACCAAAAATATGAAATATGTTTAGTACTTTCTTGTTTTAACAAATTTTATGAACTATAAAAAAACCGTTAAGTTTAATTCAACAGTCGAAATGACTTAAATTTTCTTACTCAAAAATTAGAGCCATAAAATATCACAAATAAAATCAAAGGGTACATCTTATAGCATAGTATGACTAATTTTATTAGTTAGAAGAAGTGTGATACCTACATATTCGTTTAAAATGTATTTTCTAGTGTAGTATTGACTATTGTTATTATTATTAGGTATTTATATTCATAATTGTCTCTTACTTAAAATGTTCATATAATCATATGTAGGTATGTTATATTATGTAGCGTTACAACTTGGTATAAACTATAAAGCAATACTTACGAATTAAATAAATAATTGCTGGGACACCAAATTTGACTAATTCAAATTAAAGAAATATTATTAAAATAAATTATAATACTTTAAAGATATGCAAAAGGTGAATCTCAAAGTATAGCTTACGTTTACAATATTTAGCTTCCATAAGTTCTATCAATAAAAATGAATACTCTTATAACTTATAGTTTAGTGTGATAGTTCATAATTAATTACCTAATATAACTATAATGACTTCAATAATTATGACTTAAAATTTTCTGATGACAGTTTTTAGCGTCTTAAAAATAATTATCACTCTTTAAATGTCTTTAAACTATTAATTAACTTAATAATAACTAACGCCATCTTCAGTAAGTTACATTGGGGGCATTTATACAATATATAGGATATTTTTATATATAATATTTAATGTTATGTACCTAAATATATATAGTTTCCAAAGGATATTAAAATACATTAACAATTTTTCTAAATTATATAAAATTGTAAAGCTCGCAACTTTATAGAACCTTCTATTCATATTTTTACTACTTTAAGGATAGCAGGTGGTAAAAATTCGAAAAAATACCAAGTAACATAGTTTTGTTTTATTGAGAATTGTATTCATATTACAAATTGGGAAAGTTTTATTATTTTTCTTAAAAAAAAAACGAAATCAATAATATTAACTTATACTGCAAAATTGATTTGCATGAATTGATTATTTACCGGTTAAAATTAAAACAAATTTATGCATTTTAATTATAAGATCAGTATTTTGATGAACGCTTAAGGTTTATATTGTTATAAATGTTATAGTTAAAAAGCAAACATTATGCACAGTTTTCATTACATTCTAATATTGTTATCGAAACTAATGTTAATATTGTCCTAGTGTATAATCCACACATATTATAATTATTTATATATTATCTTCAATGGAAATAGGTACGGACCTTCGTGTATTTCAAAAGTAATGTAATATTTCTTATTTTTGAAGACTAAACGCAAAGTAAAAATGTAAAACGCTGTAGCTGACACAATACTGCAGCATTTAGAATAGTTTTTTTTTTTTTTTATCATACTGCAATGACAACAAATTGCTTACAAATTAAACATGATATACGTGCACGTACATGTTACTCAAGGGACTTGTACGTGTAAAGTAGAAGTTTCGATTTACTTTCTTTTAATTTCGGTTTTGTCGGTTACAATGGATCAAAATGACAAAATCCTAGACATGTCTTTGGGTGTGGTTTTTTGTCCCTTATTTTTTTTCATCCCTCGTTAAATTTGCTAATAAAAATCGAGTTACCATTTTTCCACCTCCCCAAAGGTTAAAAATAAAAATTGGTTGTTTTCTTTCTCCTCGGTCCCGATTTATCTGGATTCCACACACGTAGTTTATAGTGTTGGTGAAATTGTGAAAATAACAAAACACAACTGGTGTTTGGTTTCTACGTGTGAAATGCGCTACAATTAAATTACACACTGAAAATCACGGGCAAACCCCATCATCCAACCCCAGTTTTCAAAGGTTTGTGCAAACAGTGTTTCCGTGTAATTTGTGATTTTTAACGGTGAACTAAAAAAATAACAACGGGTAGGAATAAAATATTTACGTTAAAACACATTTATATATCAAACGCGAAATGCATATACAATTAAAGTGGTGGAGTGCGTCTAATAATATATATTGTAAGTACACACACACACACACACACACACACTCTGATTTCGTTTAAAAATATAAAACACGTTAAAGGTTTGATTCAGACCGTATACATATAGTCGTCATTATACAACGATAAAATAATACACTCTATTTGGTTTCGTTTGATGAAAACACTCTTCAACGTAATGTGCGCGTACTATTTACAGTATACCTATAATACAACTCTACTGCTAATATTATCACTGTACCGCATAACAGCGTGTTTAAAGTTGACTTGAAGCTCGTAGGGGTATTATATATAAAATAACACCCACAATGGGTGGTTGATTATAATCGTTATAAAAAATCAAAAAGAGCGGGGAAAAAACAGTTCATTTATTTTACATTCAGAGGGTGTATTCATAATTTATTTAAGCGGCGCTTCGACAATCATTATAATATAATCAGTAATCGCTATACTATACGCATACAATCGTTTGCAGTGCGTTATATCTCCGATAACAAAGAATATAGAAACAAAAGTAAAAAAAACACCTACGTAATAATATATAAGATGAAGATAATTTATAAGACCTTTTATCTAGATTTTTTTTTATTATTTTTTTTTAAAAATCAATAGGTACAAATATGATATTTTTATATATCATTATATATTTTTTTATACTTTTATAATATTACAACGATGCACGTTCGCACCTACACGTGTTAGACGCTACAATATATGTTTATAGATATAAGTGTTTTATTTACCTAACTGAATGTTATATTTCAATTCCTTATAGTTTTAAATACATAAACCAGAAGATTATTATTTTGTCCAGTTATAGCTTTTTAAATTCTTTTAACAGTATATAATCCATATAATATTATGTAGTATTCGTGCATAATACACGTCTTGGAACATAATAATATGAATATCTATTTTTTTTTTTTTTATCAATGATAAATGATGATAATCGTACTATATAAAGTACCTACCTATATCTCAGATAACAATCATTAGATAGCCGTTTCCTCATTTATCATATGACTATAAGAGATAAAAGTGAAGTAGTTAGGCACTGTTAAACCTGCTACTCTGCTACTCTGCTTTGTGAATTACATCATATTATTATAATACGACGTGTTTACCTCTTATCTACTAAGTACTAACTGTTCGAAATAATTTAATTTTTTAATTTATTACTACTGATATTATAGTTTTGTACTGGCTAATCGTATTTTTGTTGTTTCAGCATCTTTCATCAGTAACATAAAATTGTTGAACGTCCGAATAGCCAACCATACGGTATTAGGCAGTAGTACAAAACTAGAGTGCATGTATGACCTAGAAGGAGAAACATTGTATTCAGTCAAATGGTACAAGAACGGGCACGAGTTCTTCAGGTATTTACCCAAAAGCAAACCAAAAATACAAGTTTTCGAAAAACAAGGCATTTATATTGACGTAAGTATAACCATACTATAGTAAAATTTAAAACATTATTGTTACTATTATTATTATATGTATCATTAATAATTTAATAAGTGTGGCCATTTCGTGTGGGTATCAGCAGTAGGTTTTCGGCATTGACATACAGGTTAGCTGGTTAGCAGGTCAGCTGTCTATAACAGTCAGTTATGTTATGGCCCTTAAGCTAAAACTTAAAAAAAAATCGTTAAATATTAGTTTGTTTAAAATAAATACTGTGATTTTACTCATTAATAGTACGATTGTATCGTTATTTTAAGGTCGTTTGTAGTGGAAAATAAATATAATACTATAGTACCCATGGTATTTTAAAATAATATTATAAATAATAAATGTATAGAAATAAAAATATGTAAGTATAAAAAATAATCAAACTGCTTATTATATTGTGTCTTATAAAGATTATTTTTAAGAACTAATTTATTCTAAATTCTACTTTTACTAGGTATATATTTTTTTTATTAAATATTTCTTCGATAAAAAAATCGAACATCTAAGGTATTTTCTAAAAACGTTTAGTATAATATAATATTATACCTGATATATTAGTAATGATTATTTAAATTCATAATTTTTTAGAAGGCTTAAACTCTTTTTAATAAAAATATAAATAGGATATAGTATATTTATAGAAATATTTTATACTTTAAAATATATGTTAATATAATAAAAAGATAGTTTATGAAAAGTGTAAAATAATATAATTGCAATGATACATTAATTAAGTATTTTTTATTTAACTATTTCATTTAGTGGTATGAATTCCATATTGTCACATTAATATAAATTTAATCTAATAATATTATAAGCTATAGGTATAGTTTTATATCAAACTATTGATTTTATATATATTCAACAGAAGCAAACATTTATTATTCTTCACTATGAATTTGGGTGACTCTGGATCAAATTCCGAAATATATTACACGGTGGAAATACGAATATATTGCTCCCATTTCCTAAGGAATGGAACACGTGTGTTTTGAGGGAAAGGGAGTAATGGTTTGCGTATATGCGGTAAAACGACAAATTACTTAGGGTTGGCGTTCGAGTAATGAAATATTCAACAGAAATATTTTTATATCACCTAACGTTTAGGATCCAAAGTAAATATAAATGTCATATCATTATTAGGTCTATGACTCAGAAATGACTCAAACAAAATGACCTGGACCAAATGGCAAAACGTGTTTTTGCATGTGTGTGCTTGATGAGGAATACTTCTCAAAGTTCCTTGGTATTTTAAGTGTAAGGAATATTTCAGTATACCTAGTATTATACTATTAATGGAGATTTTGGGTAATTATTGTTTGATCAGTTTCATATTACCTAATGAAAACTAATTTAATATCATCGCGTCTTCTTAGACATTTGAATAAATTGTTAAAATTTTGATTACAAAATAAACAATAGATGGAATTAATAAACTTTATAAAGTAAAACCAATTTTAAAGGTTGTTGGTATTCTAGTGATTTTATGAAACTACAAATATTTTACATCAATAATATTACTTGTAAGTTATTAAGTAAAGTTGAAATAACATGGTCTACTAAATAATGAATATAACAATACTCATTGTTAAAAATAGAAGGAATTGTTTTATCAATCATATAGATAACAAATAAAAATGATTTATGAGTAGGTATATCATTTTCTTTTAAATTTATCATAATTCGAGGATTATAATATTAGATACACACAAGACAAGATCATCAATTAATTACAATTACAATATGAAGTGTATGATTAATATAGTTATTGATAGGAGACATGAACATATGTATAATTGATTTATATAATTTTGAAAATGTTCTCACATCCATATATATATGCGTAATAAATATACATTAAGGCATACACTATGATATACTATCAAATCAAGCTCCATCACTCATAAACTATAATGTAAAATGTAAATATAACTAAAAAATACCATCAGTTTAACAGTTTTGCTTATTATTGGAATTCTAATGTGCCTGAGATATATATATGTATCTACATGGTTTGTATCTCCAAGATTATTCATGAAAGTTACCACTTATTAACGATTGTTGACTTGTTGTTTCCGTAAATAGTAATAGCAGAAGTCGGTTAATCAATTACAATTTAATAATATGAGCTCTTATATAATAACAACAGCCTAATTAATAAATATTTAAATACATGGGAGAAAATTAAATGTTTAATGTCGCTGTAGTATGAATAAATGTGCCGAATGAGTACAAAAATAGACAACATTAATAAAAATGAAGAGTATGTTTAATATCTGTAAATTACAATAGTATGCTCAAAGTTATATTTTTTCCTGATTTAGATAATTTTAATAAAATGCTTAAAATAAAATAACCCAAAAGCTAATAATTTAACTTCTCCAACATGGAGGTATAAATAAAATTTTAGAATTACAATTATAGACAACTCCAAACATTATAACTTACCCATAGGTATGCGAATAATATATAATATATTTTATTTTACATGAATAACATTTTTTTTATATATATCTAAATAAAGGTTTCAAATTCATTCTTGGAAATCATTGCTAATTGTTATTAATTTATATTATACACTAAATAAAAAAATATTTGGCGAGAGAACTGAGAAACTATTATAGTAACGGCGTGATGTATAGGCAAATTAACAGCACTTGATATTATTTCGTCTCCAAACCAAATACAATTCAATCTCGTTTTCAGATCGATAAATCAAATTCTAATGAAGTCGTGCTCAAGTCTTTAGAACTGTCAAGTAGTGGAACTTATAGGTGTGAAGTGTCGGCGGAGGCTCCGTCGTTCAAAACCGTATTCCAAGACAGAGATATGATTACAGTGGGTATGTTACAGTGAAAATTCGATATTATCATATACAATTATTTTTAAACAAAAATAACAATAACTACAAACAAATGTTATGAATTGTTTTCATGTTGCACACGGTAATTCTGTAGCAGAAGGTCCACAGATCGCCGGTCTTCACCACGAATACAATGTCGGGGACACTGTAAACGCCAACTGTACGTCGAGTAAGATGCAATTTCACGCCCAGCTCATTTGGTACATAAACAAAGAAAAGGTACGTACGATAGAACGACTGCGCAGAATGAACGTATACATATAATAAATATGTATTATTATATGCACATAACATTCTCATATGAAGTTATACACAAGGTACCGGGATCGAAAAGCTAAAAAATGTAAAGAGGCAAGAGAGAAATGAGTTTGTGAAACGTTGAAAATTATTGTCATGGGAATAATATGTATTTACTCAAAAATAATGTTGTTCGATTTTTATCTGTAAGCAATGAATATTCATTTCGACGTAACCTCTCAATATTATATATTATGTTATCCACATACGGTTTATATATACGCGCACACACGCACACACCCGTACACAGAAAGAATATTTAAATAACTTTATTCTGCAAAAAAAAAAACGGTAATACTGTTTTTTTTTTATCTGCTTTTTCTTCTTCTAAACTCTCAAAAATATTACTTGATAAAACAAGCTCAGATAATATAAGAATTTCACGTTTTTGACAAAAGTCAAGTATAGATAAGTAGCGTTTCTGGCTCATATACTAACGAGTCAATATAAATATTATATAATGTTGTTCAGCACTCTCGATCTCAACAATACAAAATATCTAAGAGATTTATTATTTACTTTCCAGTTTCCAAGTAAGGTATTGTTTATAATGTAGCCGTTTGTTTTCGTATATCTAGCATTTAAATAGATTGTTCGTTTGTTTCTAGCTTCTGGGTGTTTGAAAATCTAATTATACAAATTATTAATTAATATTATTTACGAATAATAACCATTTCGAATGTTGTTTTGAAATAGGTAACTAAAATTATATTAAGTAAATAACTAAATAACAATATTTTTTTAAACAATAATATTCCTTAATAATTTTCAAATATTCATAAAATATTATTAAAGATATGTACTTATATTATTTTATGTAAAACAATTATTTGACAAACTAGATGAATATAATAATTATAAATGGAAGATAATTGGTATGTTAACTAGGCCATGATGGGTATTCAATTATGAGTTATGACATAATTAAGTACATAATACAGTAATATAGAGTAGATACCTATATTTTGTTTTGAAAGTCTATTACCTATATAGGAGCAAAATAATATGAAGTTATGTATAAACAGAAACCCACCTTTATTTTATCTTGATTCAATCTTAAACTATTATACCTAATCAATTGTTATTTAAATAACCATTAGAAGAAACTCAATAGTTAAATATAATAGTTAACCTTAATAACGAGTACTGTAAAAATAAAATATATTGAATTAATAAATAAATATTGTGAAATATTTTTATAATGGTGCGTTCAAATTATATCAAAAACAAAAATCGAATGCTTAATGATGGCTGTTTGTAAGTTTGTCGTAATACACTGAACATTTCGTATGAGTTTAACACATTATAAAATATGTACTAGATACATCCAACATAATACATTCGTCTTCACTATTAATGTATATTCATATTAATGACAACTCAACGTACTGCATATCTAGTGAAATACTATTAGAAACTAAATGTTTCAATAATAGCTATTTTATATTTCATTAGGTACCTATTTTATAAAGTTGTCATTCTCAATTATTATTTTTCTGTCATTGAATGGTAAACTGTTAATAAATATCGTGAAACTGATTATTGACGTAATAATATACCTAGTTTCAAGAAATACATAGAGTATAGACCTAAGCAATTTTATCGAAATCTATGACTTTTTCTAAATATTTATTAGTTGACAGACTTTATTTCAGTGTTGTTGAATACTTTAAATCAAAAGTATTTACCGTAAATAAAAATTATTATTATTATTATTATTATTATTATTATTCACAGAAAAGAAAAATCATTATTTCAACTAAAATGTAGATAATCAATAATATGAACTATAATAGCATAACATTTTCTCTCTTTCTTCATTCAAATAAATCGTAATTTTATTCGCTCATCTAATTTAACTTTATTTATTTTTTTATTATTTATGACCATTCGAATTTTGGTTAAGGGAAGGAGTGACATGGGGCACACCATGCAATGTATGGTGCACTAGTTTAGTTAATAATGTAATATTAATATTTTATACGCCCTATGTTTTTAACTAAAAAGAATAAGAAATGAAAAACAATTGAAAAATATTCAAATAACTATAGATGTTTAATGATAAAGCACAAGATTATTTAAAACCATTTTTTAAATTTATTTAGGCCAACTCTACGGTTGTACAAGGGCCGTACTACAAGGAGCACTTCACAGGTAGCGAACGACTTGTGACAACTGTACTTGGACTCAGTTTTAATGTGACCGATGGTCATTATAAGAGTGGTGAAATATATCTGAAATGTGCGACTAGACTTGCTTCATTTTATTTACACTCAGATGAAAAAGTTGTTAAGTTCACCAAACGGCCTCCTACAGAATCAATAATTTCTAACCAAGTTCAACAGGCTAAAATACAAGGTAAATACGAATTATATTAACTATAAGCTTATGGACTATGAGTAACTACTATATTTTTATATACTTACCTCCAGATCGTTTAATTTTAGATACTAAATATCATTATTATAAAATGTAAATATTACTCAATTATCATGTGTGCAAAAATTCATATTTATTATTTACGACATCAGTACTTCACGGCATGCCACCGCCTTTACCACCAATTCAATTATGATTTTTTTTTATTGCTCTTTTACAGTTTTCAATATTTTAAAACGACGATAACGACGATATAATATAATTTCGATCAGATAAAGCATTGATACAATGACACGGCTGAAGGCCATTTTTACGGTCGGCTAACTATATCACTATTTGACGCCATGTCATAATTGTCATAGTCATTGTCGCTTTACAATTGAAAATTGTAATGGGTAAGGACCCAGCGCGAGAAAAAAAAATCTTTATTAAAGTAGGTGTAAATGCGGTCTCAGCAATCGGGAATTGTTCGTAATTTGTTTTATCAGTCTCCTGTAAGCTATTCCGGAATTGGAGGTGGATAGTTATGGACTATAGGTGACTAAACATTATTGTCTGCAATTATAATGATAATAAAATATTAATTGAAGGTGTGTAGGTACTAGGTACTGAGAGAAAATGTTTGGTTATAAAATAAGTAGGTATAAATAATTTAAATTATATAAATTATATTATAGATCTAAATATAAAAAAAAAATAATATATATATTATAGGTACCTATTATATAAATACATTTGAGTATTTGACACTATCAATCGGTAGGTATATTGTTGGACAAATGTGATAAATTGTTATTGAATGAGAATAATTTAGATCAGTTGAATGCTTAAGTTATGTTTTACAAACTTTCCCATAATTGTTACATTCTTTTGAACAGAGAATGTGGGGCCCAATTTGAGCTATACGTATGTTTTACTTTTATGTATACCCGTCCTGCATTACTTTATATTACATTACTTTATCGTACATAATATATAACATTACCTATACAACTTTATACCTTTTAATAAAAGTGAAGTAAGTACGATCAGACGTAGTTCGGGTGACATACGGAAAAATTTCTTAGAACGATATCGCGTATTAACTATTAAATTAAGTTATTTAAGATGCATAAATGTAAATATGTGAGTGCTGTACTGCATATATATAAGTATAAATACTATTATGGTAATATTACGCTTATGCCAAAAATGTGGAGTTAAGACTAAATAGGTATGTAAAAACTAAAAAGTGAATAAGTGTATTAATGTCTTGTGTGAAACAACAGCTTATAATATAGATGCATTTTCTATAGTAAAACTGCAAAATGTATAAAAAAAAAATCTGAAAATTAACAAATATTTAAATTATTTGATCGTTAAAATATATTTATTTCATATCTATATAATATTCATAAATATGTCATAATAAATTTCATGTCTCTAGTATTTTTACTTTCTGGTATTAATTAAAATAACTAAAATCTATTTTATTTATAACTTTTATACCTATAACCATTATTTTTGTTACAATTCATCGAAATACTATCTTAAGCCTAGATAAACTACTACACCTATACAAATAAAAAAAGAGAAAACCGATCCATTGTAAGACTATGATGTATTCCTCAGTTCCTCACTCCTCCGAGAATCTAAAATATAAATGACCTCCACAGATTTCAAAAGTTTATTAAAATTGTATATAGATTCCACTCGGAATCTAAAATGATTAAGTAATGCAAGACTGCAAGAGTAATATATAAGTAATATAATACAAGATTATAAAACAATGTCACGAATAAATGTGAAATTCTATGTAAAATAATACCCAACGGAGTTACCTATGCCAAGCATACACATTTTCAATTTGTATGGGTACACAATTTCTATAAACAAATTTCCGTTCAACCCGATTCTAAGAAAACACCTATACTTATAAGTCTCTAAAGATTTCTAAAAAAATATAGAAATTAAATTACGTGTTCGTGATTTGTATAAAGTTTACCATGCTTGGTACATACGTCATTCGAATTAATTGAAATAGATAAATGCCTGTAATAGAATTGTTGTATAATGTATATTATATATCGTTTTTATTTGTGTTGGTTTATTGCCGATTTAATGAAAGGGAAATCATTTACGGTATTTAGATTGAATCAAACACTGACATATTAGCGGGCCTACATATATATTACACAAATACAGCTGGTACAAAAGTACATAATATAGCGAATCAGACCTGGCAAGTCATAAAACTTCAAATTAGTTAACCACTGTCAAAACTGTCTAGATAATAATATTATGACTGTCATCTTTATGCGGTAATACTTCTCATCACATGGAGAAAAACAGTATATATTATTAATCGTTTTTTTTTTTTTTTAATATAAATAAATAAACCTCTCTATTACCCAGATAAAAAAGTATTGGGATTTTTATTTCCAAGAATATCATTTATGTCACAACGAAGAAAAAAAATAAACAAATGACAGTTATGAGTCGAAAGAGGTGGTTGGCGAATGGAGTGAGCAAAGCCCCCCTATAGTAATCAATAAAATAGTCACAATATATTTTATATTATTCAATTGAATTACTGATATTCGGGCATCTCCCTAAATATTATAGTGTTATTATTGTCATTAGAAATGTGTAAGTTGCGTAAATATACCTACAGCGTGAACTTATAATTATATACCAACTAATAATTTATATAATATAGGTACGACTGTGTACTTCACGGATATTGTAAGCTATTGTATATTATTTAACTTATATTATACTCATACTTATATCTAATATTTAAAAATGGAGCGTGAAAAATGTCGTTTCCTCATCAATCGAGAACGGCTGGTCCGATTTGGCTCAATTTTTTTTTTAAGATGTTCGCAATTGCCAGGAGAAGGTTTTTAAGAAAGAAAATTTTAGGAAAATCCACTGGAAAAGTAGGAAATATGAATGTAAAAAATACAACAGTAGCACAACAGTGTATTATATATAGGTTGCTATTGTTTAATTGGGCATGTTTGTTGATTTGTATTATTATTTTTTGTCAATATATGTATATAAATTAATGTTTATGTGTAGAATAGACCTCTGGGAGGAAGACAGGCTCATTTAAAGATGGTTAAATTTGGTTTTTTTATTCATCTGTTATTAGTATGGTTAGGTTAGGTTAGGGTTTTGTATTAATAGATTATATTAATTCATTATAGGTGGAATACTACAAACTTGCTATAACTTTGATACTTTAGAGTTAAGTCATACAGTTACGTACAAACAGCATACCATTCACTAGGTAGTTTGTCTACCTGAACCTGATAATATACTGCTGCGAATCAGAATTTTTATTCCAGACAAAGGAAAAGTTAAGATAAATGTTGAACACCATACACCAAATATTAAATAACGAATTGAACACAGTTTGAGGCATATAGAGTTGGTAAATTGAACGGGCAACGATGTGTACGGGATCAGCTAGTTATAATATAAATAACCATGTTAGGTTAGGTTAGGTACATTGAATATTCATTTATTATATTACAAAGACTCGCAATATCAAGTGAATTAATCTGTAACGAATCTATATAAAGTGGATGCCCGTTTACCGATTTTCGGTGGCTATGGCCCTATGGGTGTACCTATGTATAGTCTGGGAAAATCGGTGCAAAGAGAATAGATCAATCATGCTTTATTAGTTCGATAAAGCCGTAAAAAAAACGTAGACTAAAAAGACGATTATTCTTCATAATGGAGGAGAGCAATTACAAAATGCGTTTTTTTCCGTTGTTTCTATTATCCACAATGTAATTTCGCCGAACGCAAGTAAGTTTTTCACAGACTCTTAATATATTGGGTGAGGATTTCACGCCTAAAACCAACCACGTGTATACACTATAAACACTATATAAACGGTATTCGTTTCGTCAGCCAAAAAGAAAATGTAACAGTAGCACGCTACATATCACGGTTGATGCAACAATTTAATGCAATTTTACAAATGTGTGTGGAACGGCTAATATACAGGGTGATTGACCAAGCATGCCAAAATAAACGGCCAAATAATTTATAGTAAAAACGGGGTTCTCATTTTAAAAACAAAAGTTTGTAATGTCACAGAGCACTACTTAAATATTATACAAATCTAAGTATGTAATTAAAAATATTGTATTTTAGTAAACTTAAAAATTCCAAAAAATCATAACTTAAATAAATGCGTTATTAACGTAAAATGGGCCAATTGGTGGGGAAGGGGGTGGGAGCATACTCGGAGAATGGAATATTGGGAGTCAAATCTATTTCAGAAAACTTTTGTACGTATGTCATCTTAAAGGGGACGTAAAAGAATATGTTTTAGGTGTAAGAAGATAATAGATATAATTAAACGACATTTAAAAATTAAAGCAATCGACGGAAAAATATTAGTGAGGTAGGTAGGCACTATGATTGTGCAGTATGAGTTAAATCGTAAATATATAATATATTATATATGGTGGTAGTATAGCACAAATCATTTGAATCAAAAAACATACAAAATTGTCTTGATATTCATCGTTGAATTTCAGCGGTGCATTCTCTTACCTTTAGCAATATTATTTTTAATAAATAATACTGAACGTTTTTGTACAAAGTTCAAGGAATGAAAATAGATAACATAAAATATTTCATATGTGTATAGAATAGATGCCACGTTGTACGTTACTTGTATATTTACAAGTGTTTTTTATATGTCTGGGGTTTTACTCGTTCTAGCAACAGAACCATTAATAATACAGGTCTGTAGAAAATTGCAATTTACAATTACCTACATAATACTATTATGTTACCATTTTACATTTTTAAGCAAATTAATTCTACACGAATCGTTTGTTCTTCATTTTTTTTTTTTTTATTTCAGATAAAACTTCAATCAGTGTACAAAACACACCAAACATTATTCATCTGGCATGTGTTTTGCTGTTCTGTCTGCGAATCAACAGAAATGTACAAGTTGCATACTAATTACGAAGAAATAAACACATTATTTGTAATTGTATTGTTATTGTAATTCTCAAAGTAATCGTAGTTTATAATAACATTGTAATATATTGTTTACTTCCTACACTTTTTTAATGCAACTATATAATATAATATAGTGTTTTAAATTATAATATACCAAAAAAAGTTATTAAATTTATGTAACGAGAACATTTTATATGTGCCATTATAATATTATATAATATAATTTATGTTATAAATTAGATATTATATTAACTTTTAAGTTCATGAAAGTACTAAAATAGCCAATGCCCAATAGGACTGTGAATTTAATGCACTATTACATCTTAAAAAAAATTTAATTAAATCTAGACAAAAGTCAAAAAGTCAGTATAAAATGCTTTATACCTAAGACGTATATGGCATACTATAAATAATTATAATTTAAAAAATATGAAAATCAATCAAATATAATATTATATATTATTAATTAAAGATATTAATAATTAAGTGTTATGAAATTAACTACAGATCATTTCAAATATTTTTGGACGAAAATTAAAAACAATTCATAAAATTTGTGTAAAAACTAAAAAGCTTTAATCAACGGAAACGGAAAAAAAAAAATGCAAAATAAAAGTTTAAATATTGAATTCATTAGTACCTGGGTACCTAGCTACCTAATTCAAACTTAGAGTTAAAGAAGCTATGATGGTAATCTAAAAATAATACATTTATTTACAGATTCATAGCCCTATATTATATACTTATAAATTATAATTCGCAAAACGCTATTATATCCTAGTATTTAATGTAAATAACTTAAACAGTCGAATATCCTCCAACCGGAGTAAGTATAGGTACCGTAGTTATATGTCAGTAAATTACGTCATCTGCATCTGGGCCGTCTTTAGGATTTGAGAGGCCCAGGACCAATTTTTAATCCAATTTTACCACTTTTTCAAACGAAAGGCCTCCAAATGTAAATAAAAAGCGTGAGGCCCTGCTCCCTCCCCCCCCCTAAGGACAGTCCTGATATGCATGGATGGGAAATATTAATGCATTTAATAACTACCTGTTGTTATAAAATTTGGTACCGTATACCTAATATTATGTTAGAAAAAACACTCGGAAATGCATAAACTCAATATTCACAGTCCCACCCTTCGATTTATTTTTGTTTTACACCATGTTAGCCATACTACTGTCTTCAATCACATCTGTGCAATCGATGAGACTTAAATATAATAAAAGTAATAAGTTATTACTAATAACTAATAAGACATTATACTTACATACATGGGCACCCGCATTGTGGAAGAGGGTGTAAGGCGGACCCATTGAAAAAAAGTAATATGAACTTATAATTTAATAAATGAATAAATTAGTAAAATGTATATTAGTTTTTATTATTAGTTAAATTAATAAAACATTCTCAAATGTAAAATAAGTAAAGCTTTAATGTTGTTTCAATGTTTATTTCATATCCTTATAGTGATTAAGAAAAACAATTTACTTTATTCTTAATCATTATTAGGATATGAAATAAACATTGAAACAACATTAAAGCTTTACTTATTTTACATTTGAGAATGTTTTCATTTCGCATCCTCCCCTCCTAAAATGTTACCTATGATAGTATGATCAGCCATACCTACATATTATATTATAATAAAATAAAATAACATACCTATTGTTAGTCCTATTGTTTGTATTTTTATTAGATGGGTAGGTATTAGTTACCACTTACCAGCCCATCGTAGTTATGCATAAAAATTCAAGAATCTTCCTTGCCAAAAATCATTATAAACACTTAACAAATTGATTATGAGTTCAGAGTTTGAATGTTGTAGTTCTATAAAACATTAAACAAAATAACTTAAGATAAAGCAAAAAGCACCAAAAATCATAAAAAATAATATTATGTATCTAATATCTATTTAAAATAAACATTGAAATATTGAATTATCACAAGTAAAAATAACTTCTCCAAACTGTTTAATAAAACTACTAGAACAGGCAACCCCGTGGAATAAGAATTGTTAAATTTGGCATTTTTATAATAAACAAAATATTCCAAAGTTATATAAAAACACAAAATACACTCGTGACACGACAGACCAGTTGACTCAAAACCACTGAATAATTTTATAACGTACCTTCTGCAAGTCTACGATTTGTCTGCATACTGTATCACATGTCAACATATTAAATATGACAAGATAAAATTGAATTTATCCTTTCCCGTGGATATTATATATGGAATAAACTATAAAAATAAATATGAACAGCTTGAAAATGCAATACAAGGTTCTTCATAAATTGTTCTTAATGCAATAAGTATAAATATCCAAAAATACATTATCATATATTTATTATTATTTTGACAAGATTTGTCAATATCACTAAAATGGTTAAATATCTAAATTATATTTTAGTTTATAATTTAAAATATTTTTTATTTTAACACCTAAGACTTGGAAAATATGGAAAATACAAGGTTCATCTTACATTTTTTTCTTACTAAATTTAAAAAAAAAAATAATAAAAGTTTAGCGTAGTGCCAATTTAATTTCTTATGAGTGTTTGAAGTTCAAATGCTGGTCAAACATATAATAATACGATTTCTCCTTAAACGATTTTTTAATATGTTGTAACTTATAATTAAAATAATATTAACTGTTGAGAATTGAAACATTTCACTTTGACTTAAATTAAAATGTTCAATACACAACGAAGTAATCAAAATATTTAGACTAGGTATAACTATAAAATATTCAGACATTCAACATCTTCATATTTGTTTAATTTTTATTCTATGAAATATGTTGATAACAACTTTTTCTAGCTCAAAAATCTTGAAATTTAATACAAGGTTAATCATAAGTCTTACTTATATTAATATAAAAATATAGGTAGGTTTTAAGGTTTATAACTTTATAAGGTTTATTGTTGACAATATTTTATAAAATCAAAAAACTTCCAAATTACATACTTTGTTGTTAAAAAATCATACAATTTTCACTGCAAAGAGCTTAACATTTTTATTAATAATTCGAAGTTCCTAGTAAATTAATATATTATGGCAATTTCAAATACATAATAATATAAGTAATATGCTCAATTCGGTGTTGGCCTGGGGCCCCCGTCCACATTTTTGTTGAGGGGCCCCGATAGTACTATGAATATTGGATATTGAATATTATTATACCTATATTATATCATTAAAAATTATAATACTATTATAGTATAATAATTTTATCAACAATAACTGATATAAATAAAATCAATTATACACAACTTGAATCGCATTAAAAAATATTAAGTTGTATAATATTATAAGGTACCTAATACCTACCTATTACTTTTATGATTTTTTAGAATTATAAATAATTACTATAACTATGTAGTTGATTTAAATGTGTATTTTAAATAAGGTACCTTTGAAAAAATATAATATTTTGCACTACCTGTTTATTAGCACTTTTTTTTATCATTTTTTAAATATCATTTTTGGGGACCGTTCTGTATAAATGCATACGGGGCCCTTAAGTACCAGGTCGACCATGATACCATTCCCACCACACTTATTATTTTGTTGATGATTATCTACATTATTTCGTTTTTTGGAAAGTTGAAGTAGTTTAACGACATGTTTATGTCAAAAACTTATCGCAGTATCTTCTTTGGAGAATCCTATAAAATTAAATAGTATGTAGGTATTCTCTGAAGAGACTACAGTTTTACCAGATTTTTAAATTATATGAAAAGTACAAAAGTATTCGCTATTAAGAGAGTACTCTAAGGTATAGCTGGTTAGATATAGATACCTGATAGCTGGCCCGTGTAAAACTATTTAGGTATACAAAAAATTAAATAGAGTAAAATTAAAGAAAAACAAATTGGGAGGGGTATGTGGGTGCCTGAAGGCAAACCTATTAAAGAAGCAAAAAAAAAAACGGCCAAGTGCGAGTCCGACTCGCGCACGAAGAGTTCCGACCATCATCAGCTATGTTGGCAACACTGATTATATTATATATTCTAGGATTTTTAGTATTGAGGAGAATTAGTAATGCTAACGTGGTTCCTCCTCCGTCCCTCGATTAACTCGAAAAAAAATGATAGGTGTTTAGTATTTTTTGTTATAGCATCCACGGAAATACATAATCTGTGAAAATTTCAACTTTCTAACTTTCATGGTTCATGATATACAGCCTGGTGACAGACGGACGGACAGCGGAGCCTTAGTAATAGGCTTCCGTTCTATACCGTACGGAACCCTAAAAATGGATACTGAACAACATAATAAGCCGAAAGCTAATTACAGTAATACATTTTGACGAGTATCGCATAAATTAGGTTTTATTTACATTAAAATTCGAACAATTATGACCAGAAGTCTATCCCCGTTGCTTAAATATATTAGAAAATGTAAATAAATGAGTTATTAAAGATAAAAAAAATTAAATTAAATACTCCTCAAGCTAATGTATGTGATTGCAATTTATAATCATTATAAAATTATAATGATAAATTTAAAATAATATTGTCTTTCAAAGTGGAATGAAGTCAATTTGGAATTACAAATTAAAAAGACCAAATACAATATGATGAATGCATAGGAAAATATCAGAGGGCAGAGATTATTATTCAAAGCCCAAACATTACAATCAGACAGGAGCAAATTCCCACCTTGACCCTCGGCCACCTCCTCTCAAATGACGCCTCTACAGTGACCTCTATACTCTACAACGAGGAGTACACTCAAAATCTACTATACAGCAGAGCTACTTTCCTTGGCTTTTTTCACACACACAACCAAAATTAATTCAATAATTTGATAGGTACAGATTGTAAGAATCGTTTCAACAAGTATCGAGTTGGTAAAAGGTCAGGAATGCCTCCGTTGGTGCAGGAATGCCAGAAACACCCAATATAGCTTTAGGTTAGTTATAGTACGTTGGTAAAAATATAACAAAAAATGTAGATAGAAGTGGAATTTTTTAATTATGTCTACATAGGAA